CACCGGAAACATCATCAACACTTACACGACGCTGCTGCCTGTTTTCTCTCCAATTCCTTAACCTTTCCCGAACCATTGTTTCTTTTTGGAATTTGCGAAATAGCTCGTCACAGAAAATCGAAATCGAACGCCTTCACAGAAGATCCACTGGAGCTCTTCGCTCTCTCCTTTCTGCTGGCGAGAGAGCAAGGAACCCGACACGAACGACGCTGTGACCAGCAAGAGACTTGGGTGCGATGGTGAATGTGGAGCAGATTTGAGATTCTCGCTAATGTTCTTTGTTATTGCTGTACGGTACGGTAGGCCAACAATGTGCTGAAGAAAGATGAGAATTCTACGATTAAGTTGGTCGATGACAGCAGCGGCCGCACCAGCAACGACGACAGTAGCATCGACAAGTCCGAGATCTCCAAACTCAGCAATGAGCAACCAAAACAGCAACAGCAGCAGCAACAGAACAATGATCGCCCCAGGCTTCGCGCCTTGGCCAATACTGGCAAGACTGCCATTCAAGTTGTTCTACGACGGAATCGAAACAACAACAGCAACGACAGTGGACATCAACAATCAACAAAACAACATCACGAGGCAGCAGATGAATACGACGAAGATGACCCGGCTGCTCCACCCAAACAACGAGAACCCAAGGTGTGTCCTCGCTTGGCATTGATAGCTCTGCACGATGCTTGTTCCAACAAGTCAAAGGTTCAGGTTATCAAGTATCTGGTGGCCCAGCACCCGGATCGAGCCGCTGCCACGAAGGAAGGAAATTTGCCGCTTCACACTGCCTGTGCTCGCAAGGCTCCCGCCTCGGTGATTGAATATCTTTTGCAAGAATATCCCGAAGGAACTGGAGTACGGAACAAACGCTTCAAACTTCCCATTCATGTCGCCCTGGAATGCGGTGCCTCGCTCGAAGTCATCAAATTGCTGGTCAAGGCAGATCCCGACTCTCTGCAAGTGGCTGATTACGACATTACCAGCGTACAATTCCAAAAGGTATGTATTTTTGTGTCGTATGTTCCGTCAAGCAAAAAGTGTTCGTTTCATTAGCAATCTGGAAGAAGACAAAAAGCTCACAACTTTTGAACTTCTCCATACCGGTAGGTGTGGATTGCACACAAGGCCAATCTATCCATGGGACACAAAACTGGATTGCCACTTCATTACGCATGCAAACACCGGGCAACCTTGCAGACCATTCACTTTCTCATTACTGAGTATCCTGGTGAGTCGAGTCTAGTGTGTTTCTCTTTTTGATACGGTATGATGTTTTTGCACACGGCCTCAACATTCGATTCAATTCCTTTGATGATGATGATTTATTTATTAATTATAACACAGACGCTGCGAGAACAAAAAACAAGGATGGCTGGTTGCCCGTGCACTACTCCTGTTCTCGAGGAGCCCCCCTGCAGCATATCCAGTACTTGATGACAGCTTGTCCCAGCTCCCTCTACGAGCGAACATTGCACTACTATGAATACCCCATGCATCTAGCGGCTGGAAAAATGAGCGCCAATATCAACGTTGTCAAGTATATTCAAAGCAGACACTCTATTGCCTGTACCCAAACCAAACCAAATGAAGGACTCTACTTGACTTATTATGATGAAGCTTGCCTGCAATCGGCTCCATCAGCTGTTACTTGGTAAGATCAATCTCATCCATGTGGTTGTTGGGTGAGGAATTCTCTGGCCACAGTGGCTCACAGATCCTTTCTTTCTGGATGTTTCCTTGCGCAGGTTCCTTGCTGATGTATGCGCCAAGGCATCCAAGGGTTATGCCTTTTTGGCTGATGCCGAGGATCCATACAATTAGGATGCGCTTTATGTGCCACACTCTCTGTGGATGGTTCTTCTTACTTTTTCGTGTGTGCCGCATGTGTCCCTTGAACGGCATCATTGCTCCCTCTACTCTCGGATCCATCTGTCTTCCAATTCCATTTGCTTGCCTCCGGATGAAAATGAAGTCAACCAAAACAATTCGAATGTCACTGATGAGTTGGTTGGTTGCTTTCTTAGGTTGTATCTATCTCTATATATAGTGGGCATCGGTTATGAGAATCCAGCCTCTCTGAGGGACTTTTGCTCTACACCTGCAAAGAAAACCAGTGGCTAGACTGTTTACCGAGACCCAGAGGTTTCGTAGATAGCGCCGGTTCTGTCCCATAGGCTTGCATTCAGCTACTTCCTGGGTCACCGCAAAATTGAAGTCGCCGAATACTCGGCGAAGCTTGCTGTACCAAATGGTTGTAGGACCAATCAGTGTTCAGGGTGCGAGCAGCCATCCCTTGCCCCAGCGAAGGAATGCGCAGCACCTCCGTCTTTTTGCCCCAGCGAGTGAGTTTGCACTAGTAGCGGTACAATAGGTTAGACTTTTAGATTGGAGCCGTCCAAAAAAGTGTGTCAAGGAAGACGCTGGCTAGCAGTATCTTATTCTGTATGTATTCGCTAGAGCTCAGGAAGGAAGGCTCGTTCTGTAGTGCACTCTGCACAGATGCATTATGAATTGTGGAGAAGGCACTTAGGCTCAAGGATTGAAGGTTGAGCATTCATATCTCACACGCTCTGTCGTCATTTCCACTGACCACCTGCTAGCTCTAGCTATCATACGATTTTAGCAAAGAGTGACTAAATTAAGTAAATTTTACTGAAACAGTTCACCAACCTACTAGACTACATTGTCAAAAGACTGGGCCAATAAGAAGGACGGTAACTTTTCTGTCCGTCGTCGGTTTGGGTGGATCTTGAAGTCGCAGGAAACAGAGTTCGGAACATGGCCTCAACCCGTTTTCATCGCGCTCTGTGGTTTTGCAATTAGGTTAGAAAGTTAACTTATACCTGTCGGATCATACCAATGTATATATCTATGAATAGCTGAGATTCTACTTTATTAAGCAAGACTCAAAAGATTTTTTGACGTCTGTACGTCATCCGACCGAGAAGCCGACCTTACTATCGGCCCAGTCTTGTCATGTGGCCGAGCTATGAGCCAGCTAGGGAGCGAGGAGGAAGGACGTCCCTGAAAAGCGATATACCACTCTGATCTACTGCAAATCAACCTAAACCAAAACTTGTTAAGTTTGTTATCTAGACCAGTAACAAGCCAACATTGCCATCCACAAACTAGCTAGAATCAGGCTTGGGACCTTTCCACTTTCCAGCCAACACGATGAGACCAGCCAGCACACTCCGTTGAAGCTCCATTCAGGCTAGCTAGCACCATGGTCCACCTTTCCACAAGAACTGGAACTGCAAACTGTTAGATCGCCAAAGGTCTGCCAGGCATCCCATCACCACAAACAAACACAACCAAACAGATCTCACGCACCATTCAGTAAGAGTCATTGGATGAGAAATGCATGGCGCCATGGCGCCCCACGGGATGAACCACCGGCATGCCTCAAAGCCAATCCGACTCAGTAACAGGATAAACGTAGCCAACAACATCATAATGAGAATATCCCATTTGATGGACAAGCTGAATCAAAACAGCAGCACGGCACCGGAAGAAAATGCTGCGTGAGTGCTCGGTTGATGGCGGAAGCAGTGCGTCAGGGCTCCAAACGTCATTGAACCGCCTGTGACAGTCTCCATGCTTGGCTCTCAATGCCTGCCATCGGATCTCTTGTGCTGGACAGTTTCCATTGTGCGTCCTGTGGCGGTGATGCACTTGGCCCATTCGCTCATTGACAGACCACCCACATAGACGCGTAGGCCTGCTCCAAGCGCTTACCTCAGTGCTCCTTCGACCAGCGCGCGCGGCCTCCTCTCCATGTGGGTTTCACGCTGTAGGAGTGCCAGATAATATAAGAAAGAGTGAGGTAGATTTATGTTGGAACTCGGAAAGCTGTTATGTCGTGACGCGACATGGTAAGGAGACGGACCGTTACGCTTGCGATTTCTTTCACTTCCTCCCAATTGTCGAGCTGTGCCTTTCTTGGTCCGAGACCTCATGGCGTCAGTGACGTGGCTTGCTAAACATGGAGCCGTCGATAGGCCATGCTCTCGTGAGCTGTGTTAGCGTAACTCACCAGAACCTTTGTTGGTTGGTAGATGTGTGTGTCTGTGTTTCTCGCACAGCCAAGCATCTGTGTCAGGCTCTCTAGAGATGTGTCTTTCTTTCTTGGATCGGTGCTCAACAAACTCGGCTAACACAATACACTCTAAGATCAAGCCCCGTGTTACCTACATAGCTTGAATTCGGAATGTGGCCCAATACCTAATCTCCGTGTGTACTACGCTCAGAAGCAGAAGTCCAGGAGCTTCACTCGGCGCTTCGAGCGAATAGTCAGCGTATGGGAGAGAGACGAAGCAAGGCAACTTGTTTGGTGCGGCAGTGCAGGTGCGCCCTTCGCTTCGTCTGTACGCTCAGGACTAGAATGCGTTAGAGACAACGAGCGTTACCACATTCGCCAGTAGTGTCCAATAGCCTTCATCGGTGGTCGCATTCGCGCACTTCAAGTAGATGTTGTCGGTTGGTCGCCACCAATGTGTTCCTGTTGACAGGATATTTGCGTTCTGTGTTGGTCAAAGAGTGGCTCTCAGATTCGCGTATCGACGCCGAAGGCGCAGGGACTTTTCCGCACCGTGTATCCTCGTATGACGCAGGAGGTACTGTCTGTGAATAGTGGCTAGTGAAGCGCCCAAAGGTAGTGCTCCGGGTTCGGACGTTTCGTGCACTTGTTCAAATGCTGTTGGAGGAAGATGCTTTCATGTAGCAGTTCCCATTTCATCTTCATGCGCAACCCGATCACCAGGGGAGCACCAAAATGGGCTCTTGAAGCGACGCAAATTTACCTGTCGCAGAGCCTACAGGCTGTTGCACTGATTCGGATACCAGTTTTCTGGTATGAGGATCTGTACCTCGGATCTCAGCACTCAATACGCGCCGCTCGCACGAATTTCTATCGAAACTGTGAGTCTGCTGACTAAACACTTCCCAGTTTATGCTGGCTGCTGTTCCGAGTATGCATGTCCAAGTCAGGTTGTACGAGAAAGGCAGCTTGGGAGTGCTAGCACAAGATGCGAACAGAGCCGTCGAGATAATTATTCGCACCCGATAGTCCGTGCGACTGGCTGGTCATTGAAAGATCGAACATGTTTGCAAGAAAACTCCAAGCAGTCATTGGGACTTGCTTATCGGCGCCAATATGGTCACCCGGCCTGAGGGATATAGGATTACATTCTCGAGCGCGCTTATTGCGCTAGATTGGGAGAGTTCGCAACAAGGATAGGCGTTGAGGACAGCCGAGTAACCGTCACCCTCAATCGCGAGACTCTAATAGTGCCATCTCGCTCTGGGCTTACCTGGTACCTGGGTGCGGATAATGCATGTTTTGACAAAGACTGAGTCCTCGCGTGGCCATACTAGAGTTATACGTCCATTGTGAGTTATGCGTATGGAAGTGTGGGTGATGATTTGTCCGTTGACCTGACCATTATGTGCGAGGTGTGGTAGTTGTTCTCGAAGGGTGATTAGTGACGGCCATCAAAGCGTGCCGGTCAATCCGGTGGATGTCATTGGTCTTAGGTCAAATTTTTTCCACCCCATGATGTGCTAAGGTCGCAATCGTGCTAAGCATCCGCATAATGGAGTGCCTGGCATGAGTTTGTAGCACTAACTGGCACAATAGCTGTAGAATAGGCCTGATAACGATATAGTCTTAACGCACAGGGAAACTAGTTTCTGATGGATTCGGAGCGTAGAGCCGAGTCTGGTATCAAGATTTTCCGCTATCAGTTCCCTGAGACTAGCGCGTTGGCGCTCAGTGGACGATCGGTTCTCGGTTCTGTGTGCATGCTTAGTGTATCAAGGCCAGACACTTGTACTTGACGATCTCTCGGCTAAGCAAATAGGCGACGCATGCACAAACGGAGACTACGGCGCACCTGTCACGGAAATTCACTTTCGCCGCGCCAATGGGAGGACGAATCCTAGCTACCCGAGAGCAGGATCAAGTCGCTACATCTCACTCTTACGATTGGAGAGGACAACTACTCTGTAACCTCCTAATCTCACTAGCTACTAGACAATGACAATCAGCTACGATCCAGGAACTCCACCTTTTTTGTATCAACTCAAAGCCCTCCAGCAACACTCAACCCTCCGACAAAATCCAATGATCACCGCGCATGATTTACGACGTAAACTGACATTTCCTTCCCACTTGCTTAGATCTCTTTGGCCATCAACTTGTTGCAGTTTGGTAAACAGCACGGTCCATTGGTGGCTGCAGATTGGCTGCAACCGGGGTGGAAAAAGTTGACACCGGATTGACCGGCACGCTTTGATTGGCTCGCAATCCGAATCCTTCGGAATGGTCAGGTCAACGGCAATCCAATCGCATGGCAGTCAGGGGGTACCAGGTTTAAAGTCTCTAATTTGACCCCGGGTCCCCCAATCGACTAATTTATCCAAGAAGCAATTCACTCGGTGACGTATGGCTGTCGCTCACCCTATCCTTCCCACTGCTGTCTTATTTCTCAGGCCGGTGACTGTCATCGCAAGTCCCAATGACTGCTTGGAGTTTTCTTGCCCAAAGGTATTATCGGAGTCTTTCAAATCCACCGGTTAGGTACCGTTGAATTTCCCATACAAAAGCGCGCGAGAAGCACCGGAATCGTAACGCGGTCTTACCGCGACCAGATCTCATGACACGTGCAAGTTCCGTTCCCAACGATCGCTTGATTATGTCGCCGTTGGACTTTGCCACTCGGTGGTCCACTCTAGAACCTAGGAACGCCCAATCTACTCGTCCCAGCAGACGGATATCAGTTCACGCGAAAATTTGGACACGGTGCCCAGTGACTCCGGCC